ATTACTGTTTATATCGAATACTCATGAGTAATATTGAAACTGATTCAAGAATATTCCCGGAAATTGACACAGTACTGTTTATATCGAATACTCATGAATAATATCAAAATTGATTCAGGAATATTTCCGGAAGATGAGACATTACTGTTTATATTGAATACTTTATTTGTCAGTTAACAAAATAAAAAGTCTAAGAGAATGTCAAGAACATATTATTCACGTACATTCATACATTCATTCCAGTTGTAATTTTACAAACATTCTGTCAATTTTAGGGGTTGAAATTAGAAATGAAAATCAAATAGAGAGGGAAAGAGGGAGAGAGAGAGAGAGAGAGAGAGAGAGCGGATTTCAGAAAATGAAGCATAAATAAGAAATGGAGGACAATTTAAAAAAGTGAATTTCGATCGATTCTAATCTTTCATTTCATATTTTATATAAATCCTTATCCTTTCCTCTTTTCTTCATTTTTATTAATTAATTATTGTTTTGATGGATAAGAAAATTGAAATATCGTTTTGAAATTGAAACTTGAAAACTTTCCTTTTGACTTGAATAAAAAAAGGATTGAATGGAGGAAGTGATGAAACAATGAGAGAGAGAGAAGAGAGAGAGAGAGAGAGAGAGGTAAAGATGAAAAGAAATGAAGGAGAAATTCACTGCTCGATGACACTTCCATCCAGTGAATATTGCAGACAAAAATTTCGGAATCCCTCGAAATTGGTCATTGGTCATTTTTTCATTTCTTATCTTAATGTTTCACATTTATCATTTATCTGGCTTGCTTTAATCACAATAGATCAATACTATTCTGGCTTGGTTTAATCACAATGGCCCAGTACTATTTGGCTATCATTAACTTATTACCTGTACAGTTTCATTACATAATTATTATCTCGTGCTATTTAATTACTATTACATACCTGTTCATGTAGTAATACTTTTTTTCGAGTCACATTTATACTTCTTATTCTTTCATCATTACTTATGCCATCATCCATTCAACTATTAAAGATTACTTGAAAATTTAATGACTAAATTACTTTTATTGAAGTTCATTGGAATTATAAATTTTACAAAAAGAATTGATTTTAATTATAAATTCAAAAAAAAATAATAATAATAATTGATTCTTTCAATCTATTTATCCATCCTTTTGGCATGATTTAACTTTGAACTTTTTCAAATTTTAGTTTTAAATACTTTTGAAAATATTATCGTTAACAGTTGAAAAGTAAAATATTTGCAGCAAAAAAGAATTCACATTTTGTTTCAATAAATGATTGTTAGAAGAGAATTGAAAAACTTTTTCTGGAATTTAAAATTGCAAATACTTTGCAGAGCTTAAAAGTTAAGCCAAAATGGTGCTATTTATCCTTTCCTTTTCTCAATCCTTTGATAAATAAGCCAACAATAAATAAATAGGTCATCCGTTAAATTTGAAACAAAAATTATTTCCGGAATTTAAACAACACTGAATCAAATGAAAAGAGTAGTATGAAAAAATCGGTATAAAACCATTTTGAACAGCTAATTCGACCTTCATTTACCTTATTAGAGAAGAGCAAAATAAGCTTTAAAGTGAAAACAAACGAATGGTTTTATTGTTTGCTTTAGCATTGAAAGTTAATAAAAGTAAACAAATGAAGAAGTCAACTATTCCTTTACCTTCTCCGCACCTATCAATTCAATGGTATGTTTTAAACGAAGAAATTTGGAGAACTTTTACTACTTAGAAACAAATGCATGGCATCAATAATGATGGAATGGCAATGAACGATGAACAAACCATCAGATGAAGAAAAAAAAAAAAAAACTTCATTTCACCGCTGTCATCCCTAACAACCCTTTCAAATCTTTCTTTTTCCGCATTTTAAAGTTCCGTAAAATGCTTAATGAATTAATGAATATATTATAAAACCACTATTTATTAACATTGGATAATTTAGAAATTGAACTTATTCGAAACCGGAAAGATATTCCGAAAACTTTGGATCATAAATTTTGATATTTGATTATACATAGCGTAGAAATTAAGGAACTTTTGTCGGATTACCAAAATTAAAGTTACGTTCAAATAGAAACTTCCATATTATCTATCAGATATTTAAGTAATGCTAACAATAAAGGGAATATCATAATAGATATCTCAAGTTCTTATTCGTTGATTCCACAATAGATTACTACCAAATAGGTAATCATATCTTGATGATAATCTCGATGAAACATAATCAAATGGGTGATCATATCTTGATGATAATCTCATCAAATGGGTAATCATATCTTGATGATAATCTCGATGAAACATAATCAAAATGGGTAATCATATCTTGATGATAATCTCGATGAAACATAATCAAATGGGTAATCATATCTTGCTGATAATCTCATCAAACAGGTAA